GGAAATTCCTAGAATTTTTAAAATTTGCTTTCTATCTTTAAAAAACGGTGCCTCGATTAAAGGAAACAGCTTGATTTTTCATTATCCACATAGGTTAACAGAAGGGTGATGCTTCTGAGGCAGGATGGTTTTGGGGAAACCTCCCTTGGCAGAGATACAATTTTCTTTCTTTTTTTTTTTTGGCTCCTTCTTTCTAAATATTCTAGTCTTACAGGCCCCAAAAGAACTTGTTGAAAGTTACTGTTGCTTTAAAATATAAGTTTCCACCTGAACTTGACCTCTACCCCTGTAGGGGAGGTGGGCACATTCTAATACAGCATTTCTTTTTTTCCCCCCAACTTCCCCTCCAGCTGCAGAGCGTAGCCCCTCCTCCCTGTTTTGACCATGATTACTTTGCACAGGTATGCTATTGCGGCTGCTTTTCAAGAGTATTTTCTTTCCCCATGTTTTGACATTCCCTCTCTCACCCCTATCTCACCATAGTCCAGAATTTTCAGGAACCTTCCTTTAATATTTTAAATTGGCTCCCAGTTAGGTTTTTCCTGGTAGCCATCTCAAACTCACTACCCATCTCTTTCTGTCAATTCAGGGAAATATATGTCTCCACATGAGCCAAATTCTCTTAGCTTGCTTAGCCCCGATCCCCTGATGGGCCCCTCACCCACTCGCTGGAGCTTTTCCCAGAGCAGAGCCGTGCTGGGGACTCCTGGCTGCTGAAGGCCCCAGGTGAAGGGAAGCCAGCTGGGCTCGCTCTAGCGCGTGAACTGAAGAATCCACCGGGGTTCTCTCCACCTCCTGCTGGCCGGGAGTTCGTTTTCTGGAGCTGAGTTTGAAGTCCCGAGCTCGAGGAAGCCTTGTAGTCAGGGAGCCCAGCCCAAAAGCACATTTTAAAGGGCTTTTTTTTGAAACTTTAATTGGTCCTTTTGGATTTAGAGGTTCTTTTTTTTTCTTTTTTTTTTTTTTTAATTTCTAAGTTTGCTTACCACTAAATAGTACTATAAACTGTTACAAACCGTGGCAGTGAGGAATTCAATTGGCCTGTAGAGGAAAGAGTCTTTAGAAGAGACATGCTGTATGTGGGTGGGTTTTTTTAAAGGTATGTGTCTGTGATGAGGCTTAAAGAGCTTATTCCAAAACAAAGCCTTTTGTGTGTGTGTGTATATATATATATATATATATATATACATACACATGTATATATATATATATATATGTGTGTGTTTAATAATATAAGAATATATATACATACACATGTATATAAATATATACACACACACACATATATATATTCTTGTATTATTAAACACCTAAAAAGAAATAAACATGAAACATGGCTGGCTGTTAATAACCAACAGGAAATAAATGCTCAGCTTCAGGAATTATTTAAATTATTATTCAAAATGTGAGAGTAAAAAATGTATGAACTATTAGAGACGATAACTGAGGGGATCTACTGAGGTTACCTTTCTTAATGTATTGTAATTTTTTTTCTCACTGAACTTCCTGTTTGCTCTTTGTAACACTGTGAGGTCAGGTTCTTTTAAGCTCCTTAGGATAACGATCTGGCCTTTGGCACACATTGGGGTCCCACTTATTCACTTATTCATTCATTTGCTAATGTATTCATTCATCAAAAATACCATGATCTGCATGAAAAAGATGAATTTCTGCCCTTAAGGATCATGGAACCTCTGGAACAGTGTGGGTTAAACTCTGAGTGAACCAAATCAATGTTCCTTGAGGGAGCTTTTGTGAGCATGGGCATATGCAGGGGTTAGACTCTGTATGGTTTGGGCTGTACCCTTCCTAGGGGCCTCATTTCCTCTTTGCGGTTGATCCCATTAAATATGGCCACTGCCTGCTCCTCCCCTTCTATTGCCCTTGGCCTTACCTGTACCCAACTATCAGAATTTGGGGGAGGGAGGCCTTCCACTGAGCATTTCAGAAAGTCAGCTCTACACCTTGAAAACTGGAATTCTTGTGACTGATTTCCAATGTACATTTATTGTGCAAGATAGCACATGGTTCATATCTGGTGACATTTTCTGTAGAACCTATATACATTATCCTAATTGTTAGCTGAGTACTGTGAAAGTTGGTAAAGTTTGGCCTGCCTGGCTGTGTGGCTCAGTGGTTGAATATCGACCCATGAACCGGGAGGTCACGGTTCAATTCCTGGTCAGGGCACATGCCCGGAGTTTTGGGCTTGATTCCCAGTAGGGGGCATGCAGGAGGCAGCTGATCAATGACTCTCTGTTTCTATCCCTCTCTCCGTCTCCCTTCTTCTCTCTGAAATCAATAAAAAAATATATTTTAAAAAAAGTTGGTAAAGTTCCTCCATAAATGTATTCTTTTTGAGAGGCTCATTATATCAGACATACTAAAAAAATTAATGTCAAACCAGTTCATTTATCTGTGTATTTGAAAAAGCCAATCAATCAATGTACCTAATTTGTAGAAGACAGCATGAGCTTTGCATTACTGAATGCACATTGGATAGATGAGAAACCATTCTATTGTTTAAAAACTAAATCTAAATCTACAAATTAAATATGTAAATACTATTTATCCAAGTAAAGTACCTAATTTTAGCCTAATTTGGATATAAATAATATTTTCACATTTCAAAGGACCTTAATTACTGAGGTTGATTAATTTACTTTAATATCTACTGGTTGTAGCTCCTTCTGATAATAGGAGAAAGGAGACATATTCTGGGCTAACTCTGCCAGTAACTAGTTTTATGGCTCTGGCAATATCATTAAGCATCTCAAAAGATTTTTCTCAAGCTTTTTACCCATAAAATAAGGAAGATTATTTTAAAGACCTTTTTGATTTCAATTCTATGATTTTCATTACCTAAATGACTATCTTTTGACCTTTTGAAAGTAGTGATTTTAGTGAGAAAAAAAAATTGACATACGTATAAATGTATCTTTGTAGATAAGCATATATACATAATATGTAGATATAGAGCCCAAGGGCATTTCTCATCATGTTTTCCCCTCCTTCAGTTCAAAATACAAGACTGCTGAAGAGAAGCAATTGAAATTTAGGAGTAAGAAGATTCTTACTTCACCCTTTATTGTTCAGAAATGCCTTCTGTGAAAGGTAAAATTTAGGGAGCATAAAAGGAAATAAAAGAGCTCTCTTTATGAAGGTATAGGTCTCTCAACTGATAAACATAGTATCTTACTTTTAGTTGTTTATCAGATTTGAGGATCTGAACCCCTTTTCAACCATGTGGGTCAATGTTCACAATTTGCCATAATCTCTCAACTAATTTTTAGTGAATGGAATGGTTATTGGGTTAGCATTGGCCTCATACAAACAACCTATTCTCAGGCTAGATATAAAATTATATGTTTTAGGAGAAAAAGCAACTGAATATTCATAACGTTCTGTCCTCTTGTAGTTACTCTGTTCTTTTCTTATCTAAACAAACCATGTACTGTAATACAAATTAAAATAGAAAACATTATTTCTCTCTGATGGTATGATGCAAATTTGATATTTTTAACAGGGATACTACATTTTTTTTGGAAAATTCTACTTTTGTATGTTTTTTGAATGATGGTTTCTTGATGCAAATATTGTTTGGACTTTTTTTAGCATAATGGGCTGTTGTCTGATTTTTATCCAATATTCAGGGATTTCCTTACTTTTGTTTTCCAGTTTCCAGTTTCCAACCCAACTATTGTAGAAAGAAAACAAATCTTAAAAAAAACACTCAATATTTCATAATTAGTTTCCTTTTTTTTCCTTTAGCCAAACCAACAACTTTATCTCTTCCTCTGACCCCAGAGTCACCAAAGTAAGTATTAAGAAATGTAACCATTTTCAGAAAGGGAAGGGGGTTCTAATACATTTGGCTACAGCAACTCCATTTCAGTTTGTTTTTATAAATGTGCCATATCTTCCAGTGACCCCAAGGGTTCCCCATTTGAGAACAAGACTATTGAACGAACCTTAAGTGTGGAACTCTCTGGAACTGCAGGTGAGCCTTACATATCACTTGGAAATGTGTGTGTGTGTGTGTGTGTGTGTGTGTGTAATATATATTAAATAATAGAGTGCTTTATTTATGTGACTAATGACATTAATAGAGAAAAACAACATTGGATAAGAAGTTATCTATAAATATTTCTAGTTGTTTATTTTCTTTAGGAGAAGACATTTATCATAGGTCAGACTTGAGCCACAGTGGGGCAAAAGGTTTACAGTTGTTCATATGGAAAATAATACAATAATTAATAAATAATATTAGAATAAACTCTATTTTGCGCACTCACAACTGTATACCTACTTTTATACCCCTCACCCCACCCCCACCCTGTATATATTACTGCTTTGAATCCTCAAATAACCCTATTTCAGATTAAGACACCAGAACTTGAGTAGGAGGAGAAATGAACATTTACTGATCTCCCCCTCCATAAATGTGCCAGGCACGTAAGTGGTTTTGGCTAATTTCACAAGACCTCATGAGGATGGTGGTAGTTCTCTCATTTTGAAGATGAGGAAATAAGGTTCAGAGATGTTGAGTAACTTGCCCAAGACCCCAGAGCTAGGAAGCAAGGAGCAAAGGTTGAAGCCAGAATCACTACTTCTCGAGGCTTCGCTTGGAACGTTGCCTCACCCTCCAGCGTGCCTAGCAGTGCAATGCTCTCCTCTATGTGTTACCATTTTAATATCTTTTCAGCAAAGGAGACAAATGGATATATGCCCATTCACCAATACAAAACGTTCTTATATCTATTTAAAGAAGAGCTATTTCCTTCACCGTTTGGACTTCTGCACTCATGTAGCCAGTCTTGACTTCACATGCTGAAGAGGAAGGAGCCCTAAAAGCTCGGACTGCCCCTGAGACGCTTACTAAGCCAAGATTTGCAAAGCAGACTTCTGAGGTGGTTGAAAATGGTGTCTTTGCCCAAGTGCTTTAAGTTTAGGGACTCGAACCCCACCAGAGAGTGAATCTTAGGATGTCTGGACAAGAGGTTCCTTGGCTCTGGCCATTGCTGAGAAGGGTCAAGGAAGAGTAAGTTAAACAGGATGCTTTCGGCCGGGGCCGCGGCGCCTGGCGCCCCGCGCTCATTGTCGCCGAGTTTCATTTCACACTTTGAGTTTGCTAAGCTACGCCCGTGTGAAGGCCTATCGCACGATTGCATGATTTGGTAAAGCAGCAGAGCAGTTAATTTCATGGTATTTACATCTATTTTATGTGTGTGTTTATGTAGACTCATATACATACATATATACAAGTATATATCTTTATATGCATACATACGTGTACACACATGTATTTGCTTATAAGCATACACATTACATAATTTCTCAGTAAATTATAATTTTTATATATGATTATAAGTTACCCTTGTATGTATATATTATGTGCAGTAGAGGCCTTCATATGTGACCAATGAGAATGAGTATTTGGTAGTTTCATCCAAAATGTTGATTAAAGTATACAGTGTTTTGTCATTTTACTTTTGCTTAAAACATAAATATACATCAAAATATTGAATTTTTAGNCTTTATACGCATACATACGTGTACACACATGTATTTGCTTATAAGCATACACATTACATAATTTCTCAGTAAATTATAATTTTTATATATGATTATAAGTTACCCTTGTATGTATATATTATGTGCAGTAGAGGCCTTCATATGTGACCAATGAGAATGAGTATTTGGTAGTTTCATCCAAAATGTTGATTAAAGTATACAGTGTTTTGTCATTTTACTTTTGCTTAAAACATAAATATACATCAAAATATTGAATTTTTAGTAGAAGACAGAGACCTTTACTTCGAAGTTAAGTGTGCCAACTAGGAATTCATTCATCTTTCTGGCACAAACCTCAACAATAATGCGTTGTAGATGGTCCCACTTTTTGAAAGAAAAAAATTGCAGATATTTGTGTGGTAGTCTGAATGTGGAATCATTCTAGATTTTTATGGTTTTCATGTAAATTATAATCACGATTCCTGATGTTTCCTCAGTGTTTTCCATTAGCACCCATCTATAACTAATTTGACAGTCCTTCTTTTACTCTTTACTGGTCTTTTTATAAAAACAACCTTTTTTTTTACTGATATTTTATTAATTTACATAATATTTTATTTTCTCACAAAATTTTAGTCACCAGTACAATTGACATTAACTGGTTTGTAAAAATGCCCTACTGTGGCTTTTAGTAACAAAGGAATCTATTAACTAGGAATGTTCAGAATGTTGTATTATTTTTTTATAGAGAGGGTTGAGAAAGCTTCCATGGTATACACCCAAACCAAGCTTCGTGTTAGAGAAATAGTTTTATTATTCTCTCATCATAAATAATAAAGTTTAATATTAAAATGTCAATAATATAAACTGGTAGAAAAAGTATTCATAGTTCTAAGATGCAAAGATATGTATACCATTGTTTTCTATGGATATTTTAATCTATCTGTGATCATTTTGTATATATGTATAATTTTGCATCCCGATTTTTCCTTTAACATTTTAATAGGAAATTTTTGTATCATCAATGCCTTTTTTTAATCAGGTTTTTAGTATGCTGAATAAACTTAGTTTGAGTACATACATCTAAATTTACTTATTAATATCCCTACTTTCATACATTTAGGTTGCTACTATTTTGAAATAGCACTGCAGTGGAAATCTTCGTTCATAAGTTTTTTTAATTTTATTTTCTCAAAATAAATTTCTAGTAGTTATTCATACTGAATATAAGGACATAAATATCTTCAGGGCTTCATCATATATATTGCCATATTGCTTTCTGAAAGGGGTGTTTCCATTTATAGTCCTATTAGCACTCTATGGATACACTTGCTTTATTTCATCCTTGGGTGTCTTTGTTTTTAAAATGTTTTGTTAATTTAGGTGTATGAACATATCATTTAAATTGCATTTCTTCTATTAGTGAGATTATGTTGCTATAAAGAAGCAATTACTTTGATTTTTTTTGCCAGAAGTCTTAATATTCTTCTTATTGATAGGTAAACAAATTTTAAATAATTTAGTTATAATTTTGATAGGTAGCCCACATTATTAAAGGACAGGTAGAGATTTATAGAAAATACTTTAAAAATACTTATAATCTTTAAAAATATATATGGTAGATTTATTTTTTGTCAGTGAACCAGAATTCATCTTACTAGTTTAAATCCCATTTTCTTGGTGCTTTGGAAGATTATTGGGTACAATGGGAATCAGTTTAACAACATATTTTTCATGCTTGCTCTATGCTTGCAATATGATAGGTCTTGGTTGATGGATGCACAGCAAGTGTCAGACATAGAGACTAATCCTTGGAGCATAGTACTTGGCCCATAGTAGGTAATAATGAATGTTTTTGTGTTTAAGATGTGGGTTTATAGGCTTCTGGGCAAAAAGAACACGTTTTATAAAAGCATGAAGGGTAATATAATTTATTATTTATACTGTTTAGTTACCTCCTAAGAAAGGTGAGCACAGGGGGTTGGAAGTGTGAGGATGTCAATTAGAGAAGCTGAGGTAGAGGCAAATTGCCCTGCATAAGAGAAGGAATTTTGAGCTATATGAAAACAAAGGATGTGGAGGAACTTGGAGGGTACTGAAGAGAGCTGGAAGAAGTTTGGAGCATGCCTGGAGGGTGGTGTATGGAGGAGGAGACTGATGGAGGAGAGTTTTGTTTTGTTTTTTTGGAAGAGACATTGTGGGTTTGGAATGTGTGATGTTTATGATCTCTATCTCCTGTAAAAATCTGAGTAAAATTTGTTGCATAGTAGCATTTGGAAGTTGTAACCAACACTAGTTATGCCTCAGAGAATCACCAAAGGGAAGAACGAAGTTATCAAAGGGAACCCTGTAACCTGGCTTCAAGTTATATGCAGTGATCACAGAAGATTGAAAAGAAATATAAAGGCAGTTCAGGACCAAAAGAAGCATTAAGACAATACCATTATACGTTGAGTGAGTGAGGCGATCCATGGAAAGAAGTTCGGAGGAAATTGGGCTCTCCATGGGGTAAACTGACTCGCAGAGCCTTAAGGGAGAAAAAATATGTGCATCAGATTTTGAAGTACAGGTGGAAAGGGGAGAATATAGTGTTGGAGCAGAAGCAAGAAGGCAGGAAATCAAGAGGTGTTTAGGTAAGAAGGGATTTGACATGGGCAGTGAAATCAGTTAGGAAATATGCAAGATAAGGCGAATACTTTCTCTCCTTCATCTTTTTATTTCTAGAACATTTTCAATATCTGTACTCTTTTCTAGGTCTCAGATTCCTCAATTTTAAAGCCCTATTTATAATTCCCAAATGAAATTACTGTCTGACTCAAAGGACTAAATTATAGGTTGAAACATAAAATCTCCAGTATTCAACCATTTTTATCATACAAAAATGGCAATTTCATGTGGTTTAACCTGAGCCAATACACTTTATAAGCAGCAGTGCTCCAAATAAAAGTAATTTATTTTGATTTTTAAAAAACAGACATCATAGCTTAGTGAAGTTGTGAGGAGCCTTGGCCCTGATACTAAACTAATCTAAGTCCCTATTCTGGTTATACCCCTATCTAGCTGCATGGCTTTTGGTCAAGTTAAGAAACTTCTGTAATTCTCAAGATCCTTATGCATCAAATGAAGGTAATAACCATACCTGCATTTTATTGAGTAACCGTGAGGATTAAATGAGTTATAAAACCTGAAAAAGGCTTGGGCCAGTACCAGCATATGTGTGTTCCATAAATATTAGCTATTTAACTACTATGATAACTTTACCTACTAACGTCATGGCACCTACTGCTCATCTTTTCCTCTTTTGATTTTCTTTACCTGTTCCCTTTCATTGAGTTCATGTCACTTCCTCTTTGGCACTTTCATATATGAAGTTATATATTCTTTTTGTGGCAAAATCCCCCTAATTTCTCATGAAATTGAACGTATACGGTTTTTGGTGTATGGGTGTGAGATTTACCAAATCTAGGTAGAAAAATCTCCTCTTTG